CTTTGTGGGAAGAACTGCATTTTTGAAGCCATAGAAGAACATGCTGTTTTCAGAAAGCAAAATGCCACGGGCAACCTGAATATATGAAAACCCACAGGCAACTGAGGGAGGATTAGGGGAGGTAAACTTGGAGCTGGTCATTCAAGGAGTTTAGGGGTAGGACTTGTTGGATATGGACTGCAAGGGAGAAGTGAGAACTGGAACAAGGAGTAAGATAACAGAATGACCATGGGATCCCATAAGTCACGGTGAGTGCAGGTAGTGGAGGGGATATCCCTTGGCTCTCAGAACTTCTATGTAAATGTGATAGGGGGCACAGGAAGAGAGAGACAAAAGATTGGTGGGGGGAGGCAGGTGGATAAAACCAGCACTAAAGACAGCCTTGGGCCTCGGGCACAAAATAGGGGGCCAGATAGGGAGGGAGCTATAATACAAGGGAGAGTCCATTCAGTAGCAGTTGATGACAGTGATGTGAAGAATAAGTATGGATTTTATTTTGAAAGAACTTCTTTTATAGAGTGAGGACTGTACAACCCGGATATGTACAACCCTGTAGGCTGAGAGGGTGGTCATGGGAGGTCTCCATAGATGTTGCTTATAGCAAAAGAGTAGTTACTGCTATCTGGGAAAAAGGGTGATCAAAGAAGTTTCCTTGGAGGAGCTGGCACTTAAGTTGGGCTTTACAGATTAGCATTTATTAAAATAATGCAAAAGAGGAAAAGATAATAAATGTCAACCAAATAAACAAAAAGATAACAGATAATCACTTCGTGTATGTCACTCCATTTACTTTTTAACTAATTATTGGAATTTAAAACCCCACTGTACACATGAGGAAACTGAGATTTAAAGAAACAAAAATGTCTTTCTAAGATCATAAAATTTGTAAGTGGTGTAGCTAGGTCATAAATACAGATTATTAATATTATTATTATTATAAACCTCAGGCTCTTTCCATATAATTAATCAGTCTCTATGCTTAGTGTGGTAGATACTGTTTCTGTCTCCTAGAACCTCAGAGCTTGGTGTGGGAAACAGATGGGTTCAGAACTGTCTTCAGTGCAATGTACTGTACTGGTGATGAAGATGTCAATAATTTGATAATGGGTAGAATTTTAATAAATTCTAATGAAGATTAGGAGAGAATGTAAGTGGGAAAATGGTACAAGCAGGGATGTGGAGACTGGGAAGCTGTCCAGTTAAGTTGGAATCTAGACAACTGGAATCTATTGTGGGGACTGAAGTCAGACTGTGTGGGGCTCTGGCCAGCACTTAGCCCACACATACATTGGACAGGCACCACAAGCAGGCACTCTTTGATGCAGAGAATATAGTGGCAAACAAGAAAAAGTCCTTGCTTTTATGGGTCTTAAGTGCTGGCGTGAGGTGGGGGGAGGCATGGAGACAGTCTGCAATAATACAAGAATAACATGTGAAAATTCCTAAGAGTAACAAAAGAGTGGATGATTGGGAGGCTTCTCTTAGATAAAATGTCAGAGCAAATTTCTTTGAGGAGGTGACTCTCTTGTTTGGTTGTCATCTGAATGAAGGAAAGAGCCAGAATGATTAGGGTGAAGACTACTCCAGGCAAAATAAATTGCTGCTTTAAAGATCTTAAGGATAGGAACCACCTTCTCCTGTTAGAATCATGGAAAGAAGGTCCACATGGCTGGAAAACCATGAATACAGAGGAGAAGAGTGCAGGGTAAGGTCACAGCCTGTAGGAAGGCTCTAGGTAGAATATTGGATCACACTCTCAGTGTGGGGAGGAACTACTGAGCATTTTATGCTGGAGAGGGGCATGATGTGCTTTACATTTTACAAGGGAGGAAGAGGCTCTATCAGGAGGCTGTTGCTATATGTTAAGTGAGATGGAGGCAATGGGAATAACAGGAGTAGAGATGACAAGAATGGTGGATTTGGGTTATCTTGTATTTTGAGGTAGAAACAAAAGAACTTCCGGGCCCTCCCTGTTGGTGCAGCTGGTTAAAGCACAGCACTAAGAAGCTAAAGTCACTTCAGCATGAGTTTGATCCGTGCCCGGGAGGTGACCACATGGCGCGGCAGGCCTCTCCTGACCTGCATGCTGCTCCCCTCAGAAGTGTACTTCATCAGTCGGCCTGGTCTGCTCCCCACTCTGTCTCTGGTGAAGCCTCTCACTGCCCCTGAACCTCTGGCCTGTACCCCAGTTCTGTATGCATAAATAAATAAATCATTAAGACAAAAAAGAACTTCCTATATGTTTATCTAAGGGGATGACAATAAAGAATGTCTCTAAGGATTCTGTTGAGCAATGTGGATCGTGCCACCAACTTACTGAAATGGGGAGAAATAGGTTAAGGCAAAAGTATGGTTTGGGAATGCTAAGATTAAAGGCTTTTTGATGTCCAAATGGAAATGTCAAGGAGATAAGTGGATCTATGATTCTGGGGTTTAGAAAAGAGGTAGGACTGGGGAATAAGATTTGGCAGTCTCTGAAATAGTGATGATACTTAAAGTCATAGTGATGATACTTAAAGTCAAACTGGATATGTAACCAGTAGTTAGAAAAGAAGAGAAGGTGGCTGAGGAGTGAGTCCCAAGGAGAGAGAAGTGGGGTGTCAATGAAATAAAGGTCTTTATTCTCCAATGGAATGATATCTTTCTGGTTTAGTAATGTTTGGAGGAAGCACTGTGAATTAACTTCACAGTTCCCATAATTCTCTCAAAATTCTAGAACAGAGACAGTGCCCAAGGGAATGGTTTTCTGTTTGAACTTTTCAGTTGAGGAAATTCAGAAAGTTGCTCTGTGGTTTAGATCTGGGGGGGGGATGCCTTTTTTTTTTGTTTAAATAAACCAGCTGTAGCACCCACTTCTGTAGCACATTAAGATGTTTCTTCCTTTGCCTTTCACACTCTCTCAAAGGTGGACTTCCCTTTCTGGTGTTTGGCTCATGACTTTAGTGCCTGAAGAGCACACCAGTCTGCCATGTTCCAAGAGCAGGGTGAGCATATGCTGTCCCTGTGATGGGGTCCTTTCATCTACCTAACACCATCCTTACATATTTCATTCCCTCCTAAGCATCTCTTCTGCCAGTATTTTGTCTTCTCACATCTTCTGGCCAGAACATTTTTGTGGGTACTACTAACAGAAAAAAAACCCCAAACTTTTCATCATAGATTCTTGATGTGGTTCAATTTGCCTTTCAGCGTTGATTTCTCTATGTTCTCTCTTTAGTGTTCTATATATGTATCTTTTACTTCATTGAAAACCCCTGGACATTCCTTCTCCATTTTGTACTTACACTGTTCCTTCTGCCTAGATTACCTGAAGTCACTCCCAGCCTTCACTGCTTAACTGACTATTTAAGAAATTCTGCGAGCCTGAGCACCTTCTAGATGTTGAGGCCCTCACCATTGGGCTTATTCTCCACTTTCTGGGGAGGGTCTAAGTTATAGAGAACATTTGTGAGGAAGATTCACAATTAGATCCTTCAAAATGTGGTCAAAATATGGTCTTCATCATTGAGCTTAAGGTCCAGGACAAGCCATGACATTTCTTATCTGACCCTTTCTCCCAGGGTCATGGCCCTAGCTTAGAAGTTTTCTTCTATGAAAGCCTTTCTCAATCCTCTGCACAGAGCTACTTTACACCCCTCATAGTGCTTTGACAGTTAATATTTATTATCTTTTGCTTTGTTTAATTACTGTTTGCTATATTTCTTGCTACGTTACAATCTTCTTGAAGAATTTTGGTAGTTTTCACATCCTTTCTATGGTAAATATGATCAAGTGGCACTCAGAATCCATCACTAGCTCCTATGTTTCCTAGACTTCCTTGCAGCTAGGTACTGGATGTGAATTAGATTTTACCAATTAGCTCTATCTACTTGACATTTGGAAGGTTCTGTGGTGCTGCCTTTTTTGGGGGGACTAACAAAGTGATGGAGGTGTGGATATCTGGCAATTTTGGTAGCAATACCAACAGCTTCTAGATCCCAAGTTTCTGATTCCTCAACTGTAACACTGGTGATGTACTGAACTCAATAATTCCAAAAATTGCTTACTGATTTTTAATAACTCCATGTTTATCATTCTAGGCATCAAATCCCCTTTTACTTAAAATATCTGAAATTGTTATGATTTCATTAATTGAGTAAGAGTTTCATTTGAACTCTCTTGTCTGTAGAGACCCAGCAACATTAGATTGAATCTATTCAAAAGTCAGATTAATTTCCTTCATCTGCCTGCCTATTCAAGAAGCAATAAATTCTGCAGTGACTGTATTGAAGAGTTGGATAAGATTATGCTCTTATTCTCAATTTGTCAGAGGTAATTATGATAGAGAGTATAATAAATGATATAACAGAAGTTAGTGGGAACTTAGAGGAAGGAGTCCAGAAAGGCTGTTCAGAAAATGTGATGTTTAATTGGGATACAGAGGATGCCTCCATGTTTGTTAGGCAGATAAGGGAGGGGAAGTACTTCAGTTTATAAAGTGGTATATGCAAAGATACAAACACCAAAAGACTGTGGTATACTAAGAAAAAGGCCAAGTCACTGGCATGGCCGGAGCATCAGATGCTCCTGGGAGGGACCTTGTGTGAGATTTGGCTGGGTAGGCCATCTGGGTCAGAGAGTGAAAGGGGTTTTGTGCCATGCTAAGGAAGGTGAACTTTTTTCTAAAGTCATTGAAGAAAAGAGAGGTTAAAGCAATGGAGATGAAGAAGTAGGAAGAGATTCAAGAGGTATGGAGGATGTAGTGTTTGCAAAACTTAATGACCATTTGAATGCAGAGGTAAATGAGGGGGAAGGTCAAAAGTGACCTTCCAGTAGCTGGAAAAATTAGGTAAGTTACTTTTGACTCTGCTTTTTATTTCATATAAATTCTTAGTTTTTCAGTTCCCAGGAACTCCAAGATCAAAGAGATCTAAAAAGTTCAGAAGTGAGGTCTTCTTTTTGGGGAGTGACCCACAAGTGAAGATAGCATGACCCTACATGAAGAAGGAAAAGAACATCAATTTCATTGCTCACCAATCATTTATTGGGGTTTTAATACAATTCCATACATTTTCTTGTGAAGGGTTTCCAGGCCCAGGAGCTATGGGCTGACAATTTTGGCTTCTTGGATTCCACAAACAGATGGCATATGCTTTCTCTATATTTTATTTTATCAGAAACTGAAAGGGATTGAGTAGAACTCAGTTTAGTTAGCTCAAGTGATACAAGCTTAGTAGACAGGACCTCTGATAAGGAATAGAAGCTTGGGAGTGGACGTGTTAGTGACATCCGAGATGCCCTCTGAGGTCTCTGGCTCTTCCATCAACCAGTCTGTCACTGTGTTTCATTTTAATTCAGGTTTGTGATTCCTGATGCTTCATCCACTGGAGCCAAAGTTCATCAAATTCCAGGTGTCCTCTCTTTGGACTATGGTGTATGTCTTCAGAATACCTTTCTTGTTTGTTTCTGAACTTTTGGGAGAAGTTTCTACCCCTTAATGATCCAAGCATATCCCATTTATATGGAGGGCGAACAGAAATGATTTAAATCCCCAAATTAATCCAAATTGGGATCTGATTATTTCACCCAATTTACCATTCACATTTCACCCAGTTGGAAAGCCCGAGAAATGCTTGCTGCTCAAAGAACTGAAATACCCTAAAAGAGAATACTAGCTCTCAAAAACATCCTAGCATATAGATAGAACATAGGAAAGGAGGAAATCATATTTTTTCAACCTCTTAAACAGATGAACTCGACACAGAGAACTCTTCCCTTGGCTTCTTATTGCTTCAGCACTCATGAGCAGCCTCATGCTCGTGTGCTTTCTGCTCTTGTACTTGTGCTTTCTGCTCTTGCACGTAGTCATAGAGGGGATGGATACCAACGGCTGTTTTGGGATTCTGGCTTCCACACTGTTGGCTTATTTGGGGTTTCCCACAGCGCTGGGGTGGGTGGAGGCTCATACCACTGCCCCTCCCCTGTGAGCCTGGTCTCTGGACATCATCATTCCTGTGGAATGTTCCTCTGGTCATACAGCCCCCGTGTGCTATCCCATGGGATTGTTGGTGTCCTTGGTACCTCTCTTCCTCCTCACGGGTGTGCCTATCCTGCTGGTGACAACTGTGATCTACCTCATGGCTTTGCCTGCCCCTTATCTCATGGCTGTGTTCTCCATAGGATTGCCTGCTTGCTGTCTGATGGCCGTGTTCTCCATGGCTTTGCCTGTCCCTTGTGTGACAGCTCTCTTGC